TAGTGATACTGCCTCGGAAACCCAAGGAGGGGTTGCTATGAGTCAGGGCTGACTCGACGGCACATAACAACAACAACAACAACAGTGTGCAACCAGCATTGAAAATCACCGGTTTAACGAAATTAAAATGATTTATCATGGAAAAGGAAGAATAATGTAAAATATTTGATACAGCAGGTAAATGTTACTTTTTAGTTCTGAAAATGCATAATTACCCGAATCACAGAATTCAGATCTTCAATTATGTTCTTGTTGATGAGAATCGCATCAGAATATTCCAGAATTAACTGGAAATTCTCCAATTCTACTTGTCCTTGTTTAAGGAGAATTTGAATGGTCAAATTCAACTGGAATTCCACTTTCTCTTCCTGTAATCTAAAAATGAAATACAATTCAAAGCAAGTAGTTATATATATTTGTATTTCAAATTTCACCTACTGTCTGAGAATATAAAATTCAAACCAGCTTAAGGAACACATTTGGAGATCAATGTGGAGAACATTTTCCCAATAATGAATTTCCCTAGAGGTACCTATGATGGATGTTTCTTCCTATGACATGGAGTTATATTTAGGCTGTTCAAAGAATGGTATCGATAGAAATGCATTCATAAAACTTTACTTTTGAATTAAAGAAAGATAAATATAATTTTGATTATAATAAAAATAAATTCAAAATGAAGAATACAGATGTTACCAAATAATAATTTACTATAGTTCTGACAGAGAGCTCTGGTCGTGTAGTGGCTAAGGCACTTGACTGCTAACTAGAAGGCTGGCGGTTCAAACCCACCAGCCACTCCTTGGAAGGAAGGTTGGGCAATTTACTTCCGTAGTGATACTGCCTCGGAAACCCAAGGAGGGGTTGCTATGAGTCGGGCGAACTTGACAGCACTTAACAACAAACAACCTACTTCTGACATTATTAATTGACTTCTGACAATATATTAGCAATGTTTAACCTATATGCTACTTAAAAAATCTATTTCTAGGTAATTCATATTCCTCCCTACAGCCTGGATCTAAAAATGACTATGTAGCAATGCATTTGGGAACATCAGAGCAGGATTTATCAAAATGGCTGCAACTATGGCCAAAGAGTGAAGCAAGGACTTTAAACCAGTATCCAATAAAAGCAAGTTCCCCTAAGGAAAAAAGACATTAGTTGGGTAGATATCTACATGGTAATTTCTTAAACATCTGCTTAATTTTACACAAATTTAACTTGTGTAGCTTAACCCTAAAACTCCTTACTGGCAGAAAGTCGTCCTTTAGATTTTTATGTGGGAGGAACCAATGGAAAAAAAAAAAAAAAAAAAAACACTACTATTTTTCCAAAACTTGTCTATTTGTAATAAGGACAATGGAACATGTGAGAATGGTCCATTCTGAAATGTCTTACGTAACATGTAAAAAGTCTTTTTTTTTTAAAAAAAAAAAAAAGAGAGAGCACAACAGTGGGACTGAGATGGCTAGGTCTGGGCCAGCTGCAAACTATTGCCAGTCAGCTGACAGGTTTCTGAGGCATTTTCCCCAATTACAACACCAATCTAACTTAGACTAGCTTAGACTCTGGATAAATGAAAGTGAAGGAAAGGTTCAAATTACAGGATGAGTTCATGGAACACTTTTTCAATGCTCTGTTGCACCTTTTCATCATCCTCAATTCTCTTCCGGAGGAAAGCCATCATTTCCATTAAACCAGCTGCTTTCTGCTTTACCTGAAGAAACCAAACCACAAGCATCTCAGAACATAAGGTGCTTTGGAAATAAAAGCTAGTTTTAAATCATTTCGGAAAATATACATCTTTTGACTTTTTTTTTTGGTTACAAAACCTTAAAAAGTCTATCTTTCTAAGAGATTAATAAAAGTTTAAATCCCTGTCATTAGGTAATACAAAGTATCCAGAATCCATTAATAATTTGAAGAGTATAATAATAATCTGCTTCTTGATGAAATTTGAATAATTTGCTTCTTGATGAAAATCAAGCATGCAAAGCAACTGGAATTTAAATAATAAATAAAATGGAATTTTGCTTATGTCTCATTTTAAAATTTGTTCCCATCACCTTAGGTAAAACGATAAAATCATAGATATTTTAACAAATACATGCTAGCCTGATGCATGTGGCACAGAATTTAGGGAATGTTATATGTGGTTGGGGAGAAATGGGGAATCAAGAAGTAATAAAAGAAAGGATTCTCTTTCCAATTAAACATATTCACAAATGTTTGCCCTCTGGTACTACTTTTTTCTTTTCTTT